CCCATCTCCTGACTGCTCTCCGGGTAGCAACTGGCTGCTCTTACAGCAAAGAATTCAACCTCCTCCACCAGCTGCAGCATCACCGAGGCTCTCAGGGGTACTGCCCCAGTGATTCCTGTGAACTGATAACCAGCACCAACTGTTTTCACAAAAAAACAGTGAACAGCGAAGAAATCACCAGGGATGGTGGCTGTTACAGACCCAGGGCAAATGTGAAGCAGTGTTCTGGAGGTGAAAGGATCTCTATGCCATTACAGACCTTCTAAGTTTCCCAGTCCCAGGGGTGTACTTTCATGGGAAGAAAAACCTGTTTCAGATCACGCCAGATATTTTCTGTACTGCCCAGCAGTTATACCTGAGGATGTTCTCCAGATGTTCATGTTTGTATGAAACATACAATAATAAAGCTGTAAACTGGGGGAGACAATACCCGGACTGCAAGAAGAAGGGCTTTAGGGCTGCCTGGAAAAACATGAAAATTAACTAGCCCACACACACAATCAACTTGTCCGCTTTAATAAGACAATAATGACATATTTTATTTGCTTTTTCAAAGAACTGCTACTTTTCCCAGCAAGTGGGCACACATGATTTATCACAGCTCTTATACCGCCAGTAGGTGATTGCTTGTATTTTGGGGAACAGCTATTCCTTCTTCTTGGGCAGGCAGGAAGTGAGAAGTACAGGGCCTGAGACAAGCTGAAGCCACAGTTCAGATAGTTTTTAGGCTACAGGGAAAGGAAAATACTAATATACCATTGTCTGCAATGCCAGCTATCGAAAAACAAGACAGAAGAAAATCCTTGCAGTAACTGGAGGGGATGGAAACAGACCTGTTGCATTAGGGCAGTAAAATTTCCTGGCTAAAAGAAGTTGGACCACAGGTATCATCTGTCCTGGATCTATAAAGAGCACCAAATGAGAATGTGCTGGCTAAGACATCTGCAGAGTGAAATGTCTTCAGTGTTTGCACACTGTCTAATGAGAGGTGAATAAACCAGGAGTTTGAAACTGGAAGCTTTTTCTCTTTTCTTTCCTGCTGGCCTAGGCAGGCTAAGCAAAAGGTCTGAGAAGTCTGGCTACAAGTCCCTGGAGATCGCAAAGGTTTCCAAGTGTACCCTTCCTGCTTAATTTGGGCTGCCCAAGTGCGTCCTGATCCCAAAAACATGTGGACATAACGGAGACCTTTTTGCTTAGTGCGTTTAATATTGCACCGGTGGCCTGTATAAGGGTTTCAGAATGTCACGTGCCTCCACTGCTCAGAGTTTGGCTACTTCAGTGATTTCACTGATTGGGGTGCATTTGGAAGTATTATCTTGCATTTTGTTAAAGAAGTGACTGTAAAATTAATACAGGTGCTGACTGCTGTCATGGCTTTGATCTGAAAAGCATAGTCTGTCCCTGTGGTGTGTGACTTCTCTTTAAAACAAAGCGGGAGCAAGCCAGACTGGAATGCAGGATTAAACATTTTTGCAGGTTTATTGTGGGACCTGTAGGTGGCCTCATTTTAATAGTCAATAAAACGAGAACTATTAGTTCAGTTTGCCAATGAGCTAAGTAATGTTTTGTCTTATTCTACTGAATCTGGAGGCTGACGAATTTGCTTCTAGTGCTGCTGAATACTCTGACATTTGTTCTTTAAACAAGGAGGGACAGAGCACAGTGATTTTAATTCTGAAAGTGCAAACATCTGTTCTATTTTCATCCTTAAATTCCTCTAAGGATGTGAAAAGGGAGGGTAGAATTTTGAAACTGAGTTAGGACCAGAAAAATAGCCTGTATCTATTAGCCTTTTCTATTGGCCCTGGGTGCTTATGATACTCTTTCGAAAGCAGGTAAGTGCAAGGACAGCTGGTATCCTGCAGTGCTGTGGCCCTGCCAGAAACCTGCTGGAGACAGACTATCAGATATGTAATAGTCACAGTATTTAAGGAAAAGCAAAGTAAAAGCAGTTCTCTAGGGCATGCTGTAGCTAGGGGCACAAAAACCTGACATAAACCCAGATAAATAAGGAAGGAGAACAAAATTATTTGTAAAGAAATTTATTTTATATTTGTGTACAACAAATATATGAAAACAAATTTAATTTGAAAAATGTATATTCTATTTCTTAAAAGCATTGAACCCTCTTAAGGAAAGGTTTTAGTTATTAAAAAGGTACTGAAGGCTAAAATTATACTTGGATAATATATGTGCGTGTACATATATATATATATAAAAAATGTGCAATTTTATATATATATAGTATACATATATTTAACGTGTGACTTGCATGGTATTTTAAGGTATGCCATTGAAACATCTGAGTAACAATAGAGATATTATAAAATATACTTTGCTATTTCTACAGTTTGCATTCAGTTTTTATACGCATGTAGATAGTGCAAAATTTAAACATAAAAGATTCTCTTCTTATTCTATACATTGTGCTCAGCTCCCAGGTTTCCTCTGTCATGATCATAACCAGACTGAACCAAATTTGGAGGGTTCAATATTAGCCCTTACTAGCATCTTCTAAGAGCAATAAAATGAAATCTGTCTTACTTTGCACTGTGGTACAGTTTATGCACAAGAGAGAACAATGCATTTCCTAAGTTAAATGGTCTAACTCCCAGAGATCACATACACCTCACCATATTGACTCATTTCATTTCACTCCATATCCTGCAAAAATAAATCTCCTGTAGGACAGCCTACGTTACTGCACACTGAAGTTTAAGTAATATATTTCTTTAACATAAGGCAGGAATATACTGAAATTTGATAACACTTAAATCCAACAGCAATCTGGAATTAAACCACGTTTATGTACCACATTTTTATAGATTCTGCCTTTTTTAAGTTTATGTCAGAGAATGTGGTAGAGACAATCTATTTTTCTTTAAATAAAAGCAAGGGATAAAAAAACCTTTCCCGCAGCAGATGAGCAATTCCTTGCACGGCATCCTGGGGAATGCTCATGGGAGTAGGTGCTTAGTACAGCAGAGCACGAGTGGTTTAGCTCTAAAATATTTATCATCCCAATTTGCATCTATTCTATGTTAAGATAGAGTATGCTTTTTTCATGTCTTTCTTAGGTAGCTAAAGAAAGGCAACTATGACCATTCCGTTTGCTTTTATAGTAGCCATATTTTAACTGAAGGGTGTTTGTACTTTAGATAGTATGTTTATTATCACTGACATAAAAACCTCAATCCTGCTTCCATAAAAATCAATGGTTGCTTCGCTCCTCTGAGAAATAAAACCGGATCCAAGTATGTTAGTCACAAAGCTAGCTAGTAAAAGTAAAAACTATATTCATTAAGCCTCTCAATGCTTAAAGGCAAAGTGGTGTTAGCAAATACTGTATAGTACAGCTTAAGGAACAGTGTTACGCACAGTTCTAGACAAACTCTTATGTAAAAAAAAATCTAAAAGCAGCTGTGAAAAACATCTTATGGGGCAGAGAATTTTGCTACATAAGAATTTCTGGAGCTCTGACAGTCTTTTTTTCAAATTCATTTCTTCAATCAACCCCCTCACTCACATCCTCCACCTCAACTGCACAAATTAAAGGCTGTGGCCTTGTAGGCAGCATGCATCCAGACCAGCTTATCTCAAAATTAGATACTTCAGGAGGGTAAAACACTCCCTCTTTCTGCCACATTCATTCCCAAAATCCCTTTTAGCAGAAACTGTCATGTTTCTGAATCCTTGTAGCAACCAAAAAGATAAAGAGCCTAGTGTCATCCCTCATCTACTTCACTTCTCAAGTTTATCTCTGCACTTGTCCATATAATTGCCCCCTGCAGATTTCAACTTTAATTCAATTTTGAGTTACAGTCCCTGAACAAGCCTCAGAAAAAGACAAAGCCTCATTAGTGGCCCACAAAAGTGAGCCTTACCAGTTAAAACCTTGATTTAAATACCAAACAAAGGGGAAAAAATAGATGCTGAGACAATGTTTACACCCTTTCAACCATACCCTTGAAATTCTGGCAGTAAATCAGCCAAAGGATGGGCTTTACATCTCATTCATCTCTCCCAGTTGGGAAGGAACAGCCACAACTACAAGTTGTCGCAGGGCGCGGCTGATGCTGGGAGATGGCTGAATACATGTGACCAAAGGCTGCATGCCTCACAAGTCAGAACAAAGCAGAGATGTGATAGGAATTCAGGACTTTCTTATGCCCAGAAGTTTCCTGCAGACTGGAGATAAACACAAGTCCCATCTCCCACACAAACAGGTATCCTGTTCAAACCCAGGGTAACACAGCACTAAAAAGAAGCTAAGAACTAATGATGCCAAAGCCTCTCGACTTAAGGATTTCCCAAAGCAATCTCAAAGAAAAGAAAGGGAAAGGAAACCTGTGGTGTCAGTCAACACATTTTTCAACCCAATTATATAGTAAATGCACCGGCAGGCAAGGCCTCAGTTCTGAAAAGGTGAGGAAGAAGAAGGATGGTGCAAAATGCTTTCATACACTTAAACATTCTTAGGATATAAGAGAGCAGGCAACTTAGAAAACATTCCTTGTAAGCTGTGTCAGATCAGCGCAGTTTTCTGCAGTCTTTGCTTCGTCCTACAGCTCAGCTTTGCCTGTTTGGGCAGGACTGGAGTTACCACTGCCTTCTCCGGCATTGTTCTTGTCTGCTGGCTTGAAAGATAACGAAGCAGAGTTTGTGCAGTACCGTTTGCCAGTTGGGCGAGGTCCATCATCAAAAATATGCCCCAGGTGAGCACCACACTGAAACAAAAGACAACAGAGTATCACTGTATCTCTGTGCGGCTTGATGGCATCACCACGGTATTACGCAATGACCAGCTGCTGCTGCCAAGGAAGCACACTGCTGCCTGCACCCCTCTTCCAAGTGGGATTTACAACCTGCATTTATCTGCAAGAGTGATCCAGGAAGACGATCTGAGATACCAAGGGCGCCTAAGGCTTCAAGCCCAAACTTCCAGAGCGTCTCTCATCGTGTCACTGCATATGTTTGGTTGGGCCGCTCTTTCTGAGAAGCAGCTTGTCTCTGTAATGGTCTCATGGCACGAGCTCAGTTGGAAACACAGCGGTGAGGGCAGCACTGCCCATGTTTCACTTACTGCTGTAAGGACAGTTGTGTAAGAAAGAGGCAACACGAGCTCTGGGCTGTCCTCAGCATGCACCCATCTGCTACTAAACCTCTTGGTGATCCTGGCAAGGAACTAAAGTAAAGACATTCTTTGGAGTATGCCCACAATCTCTCTCCTTTTTTTTTTTTTTTTTTTTTTTTT